ACTCTGATAAGGCAATTTCTTTAAAATGCTTCAAGAGGAAATTGCTGACCTGACCAACTGGTTAGCCAATCACCATCCAYCTTAAGCTGCTTTTTGCACCTTCATGGCATGCTGTTTGGTAGCACTGCTGGACAAACAGCCTGATGTGAAACTGGTTGGGATTGGAGAAATCTACCATTGCCTAATTGCAAAAAGCGTTCTCCATATGGAACAAGGCTCTCTTGCCACAGAAAGATGTGGAAATTTCAATTTGTGCAAGGGTCTGTGTGCAGGAACTGCAGCCAACCTGATRCACCACCAGACAGACCACCAAGGCAGGGTGATTCCACAGCAACCCAAACTGGATCGCCAAGGAACGCCCTACCCCCCTGGACCATGATGACCTAGAAGGCACCCTTCTGGTTGATGTCTGCAATGGTTTCCACAAGCTGAGCTGAAATACAATTTTCTGGACCATTTKCCATCTACAGACTGCAGGAGGGCAGTTTTGCTTCAATTGTTCCCAACATTCTGCCCAGCTGACTCTCCAGGACAAATCTTCAACTGATTCCTGTTCTATTTTGCTTTCTWGCAAAGGTGTTGCTCAGGGCAGCCCACTCTTGATGATCCTCTACAGCTTGRCCACAGTTCCACCTGCAAAAACACTTTGAAATGCATTTCCAGATGTTGTGCAGCTATTCTATGCTGATGATGATGCCATGCATGGCAGAGTTTCTRAAATTGCTGGCACAATGCAAATGCTCCTACAGCTGGAGCTCCAACTTCTCTGTCAAACAATCATGCCCTGTCAAAAGGGAGGACTCTCGCTGCAACGTCACAATGACATCACAGGAGAATAGCACCAGTTCTGTGCCAAGGTGATGTTAGTTTAGAGTTAAGGTTAAACTTATACAAACTATTATTAGCCAAAAAATTATTCAAACAAGTAGTAGTACTACTAGTAGTTCTAGGCAAAATATTATTCAAACTAAATTTGATCTATCTTCAGTTGCAAATGAAATTCTATGATTCAACAACCTAGTCAGAACAAAAAAATGCTATTTCTTAATACTACGCGGGGACGAAACTGCAACCGGACAAAACTGCAACTTTTCTACCAAAACTACGTATTTAACAAGTAAGGGACTAAATTTGTACTTTAATGCAAATTAGTATTACAACTAGTACTACTACTGATACTACTAGGACCTCCTACTTATACCAGTGGTTTCAGCATAAAAATTGTATAACACAACTACCCACTGAACCCAACATGTTCATTAGGATGTTAAGACATGTTCTGCAAAAAACTAGGTCTTAATTGGATGCTTAGTTGCTTTTTTACACCACAATCAAGTTTGCAGTGTAGATTGTGCAGTTTTTTACATGCATTTAACACGTAAGGGACTAAATTTGTACTACACTGCAAATTTGCAGTTTCGTCCGCGCGTAGAATACGTGAATGAAATTTCATAATCTCATTCTTATTTCATAATCTCGATCCTTATCATCAGCCAATCAGATTTCTTGATTCTTATCGAGTATATTATCCCTAACTCTAAATTAACTCTAAAATCGACGTAAAATGCCATTTTGGGCAAGAAGGAAACACCTCTGCGAAGACCTCCCGTACGTACGAATAGCATAGAATGGTCAATTATTGAAGATACCGAAGAAGCCTAAAAAAGAAATGATATTGTTTAATAATTCTAAAATCAGAGCGATAAGAAAATTGATCTCMCTACAAACAATTGTATCATTTTTCGATGTTGTTCGTAAAGTCGAGTGCTCATCATTAAATGTAAACCAAGAACAGATGTCCGACATTTCCTAATGATAGTTCCAGTTCTTGCCAGATGGACAACGAAGGGGTATCATCAACAAAAAGGTTAACTTCCGTCGTAG